GCTTCCCGCCGCTGCCCGGGCGAGGCGAGGCGCGCGCGGCCGCCCCGCGCCCGCCGCCCCGCACCCGGCGCCCCCGACCCGGATTCCGGCGCTGTAGGGGCGGCTGCCTGACGCACGCAGCGCCCCCCGGCAGGCGGCACGACCGAGCGGGGAGGCGAGCGCGGCGGCTGGGGAAGCGAGATGTCAGGGCAGCGCGGCGACGCCACGGGACTCCGGGGGCGAGGGAGGCGAGCCGGCGGGCTCCCGCGCTAGGAGAGGAAGACGCCTCGCCGAGCGATTCGGAACGATCATTGTTGTTTAAAAGACGCGCAGGATTGGAACTCGCTCCCTCCCTCCCTCCCTCCCTCCCTCTTTCAAAACACAAAGCAGGCAGATCAGCCGTAGCGGACGAGAATTCTTGCAAAATCATCATCGCCACCGCCGTCATCTTCACCACGCTAAAAGGAAATCAGAAACCCCTCCCCGCGCGCCGGCTTCCCCCCGCTGGGAAGCGAGAGCGACCGCTGCCTCCTGCAAGGGGCTGGATTTTCGGTGGTGGTGGGGGAAAGGCTTGCTCTGATTGCCAAGCGCTTTGGGAGGCGTGTAAGTGGCCCCCGAAGCGGCCGATCGAGACTGGGAAAGAAAGCCTCTCCTTTGGGCATTTTCTGAGTGCGTGAAGCTGGAAGAGCTCAGCGGACTGATCCAGATGGCGGGGCTCGGGGAGAATCCGCGTTTTTGCCACTGACGACCGGTTAATTGTTGTTGTTGTTATCCCCGGCCGCTGAACACGATGCACCCTCGCCTGTCCCCGGCACCATATTGATCGAAGGCGGTGGCAGCGACGCTTCCGAATTCCCGGCCAAGTTTGCCCCACCCCTCAGCCCGCCCGCCCCTGCCCCACAGGAGAGGTGAATACGCCGCCCGGGACCCTGTCTTTCTGGAGCAGAAGTCCTTCTCTTCATCTCCGTCCCCACACCCACCTGCCCGCCCATCGCCCGAGTTGGATGCCCCCCGCCTCCTGCTGCGCGATCACGGGAGAAGCCCGGCGTCCTGCGAAGAGCGGCCCGGGAGCTCGCGCTCCGCTCGGCGGCAGGTCCGAGGGCTTCGCCTCCTCGGTGGAGATGCCCCTGGTGCTGCTGTGAAGGCGACAAGGGTGATGGCTGCGGGAAGGTTACTGCTCTACGCCGGCCTCTCTCTCGCTCTGTGTGCTCTGGGCATGCTGGCTGTGGCCATCTGCTCGGACCACTGGTACGAAACGGATGCCCGGAAGCACCGCGAGCGGTGCAAAAGCTTCACCACCCGGAGGAATGACCCGGGCTTCATTTATAACTCCAACAACAACTTGCCCCTCCGGGCCAGCCGGTCGAGGCTGGACCGCTGGGAAGGGAGGCTGCTCTTGGCGCGGAATCGGAGGCACCTCTTTGCCATGAGCCCCGTGGACGAGTGCAACAGACAGTACAACTCCACCAACATGGGGCTGTGGAGGAAATGCCACCGGCTGGGATTTGACCAGGATCTGGAAGAGCTCATTGCTAAAGGTAAGGCTTCTCCCTGCGCCCTGAGCCAACCTGTGTGGACTACCGACGCCTGAGTGGTGGAGGAGGCTTGCCACACCTGGCCGGTTCATTGGGCAGGTCGTCACCCGAGCTCTCCGTGAGCTTAGTCCCAGGGAAGGGGATGGAGAATTGCAGCCCCTCCCCACTTAAGCCAGATGGCAAGCTTTCTCCCCGAAGCAGGGCTTTCTTGCTAAAGTTTGCAATATCCCTGAACTCATCCATTGGCAGAACATGTGGCCTAGCCAATCACAAGTGAGAGAAACAGCGAGGAACATGGGAAGATCAGCAGGGCTCTTTTTCTGGTTCAGGTCCTAGGTTCATCTACCCCAGTATTGTAGGCTCTGACAGGCAGCAGCTCTCCAAGGTTGCAGGCAGGAATTTTTCCAGCCTTGTCTGGAGATGCCAGAGGTTGAACCCGCGACCTTCGGCATGCAAACTGGAGGACACTTCCCCTTTAACTTCTCTCTTACAGAGCTCAGAAGCAGATAGAATGATTTGCAATGGTGCCCTAAGTGACTTCATTTAAACACTGACAAAGGGTGAAGACGTTCTGTTGGGCTGGGAACTTATAGGCCATATAAGAAGGGATTTGTAAAGGTGGTGGTAGTGTAATAAGATTTATATTCTAGCCTTTCCCACTTGCAAGGTACCTAAGGCAGCTTACATGGCCCTTTCCCTTCTGTTCTCACAACACCCTCATGAGATAGGCTAGGCTGAGAGTCGGTGACTGGCAAGACTTGTGGCTGAGTGGGAATGAACCCAGGTCTCCCAAACCCCAGTCCAGCACTCCACTCCACTCCACTGGCTATCCATCAGATGGAATCAAGTCTGTTTTCTAATATGAGAGAGAGCCAGTGTGGCGTAGCGGCCAAGAGCGCAGCACTGGGACTCAGGCGATCTGGGTTCTAGTCCCCACTTGGCCATGCAGCCGACTGGGTGACTTGGGGCCAGCCACAGACTTTCATCCCCACCTACCTCACGGGGTTGTTGTTGGGTTAAGATTGAGAGCAGCAGGAGGAGAATGATGCTTTGAGGTTTTTTTTTTTTTAAGAATAAAGGTGGGATATAAATCCAATAAACAAATAAATAAAAAGTGTTGTCACTTAAAAAAAAAAGGCAAGGCCATGCTTCAGTGTGGCATGGAGTACCTGAATGCACAAACAGTGCAGGAAATGCACTGTCAAGCCTTCTGAATTAGACCCTGATTACTGGTGTTCAAAAATTAACTGGATTCAGCTAATCTTACACCAGAAAGCTGGATTACTTCTGAATTAAACTAATATGCTTCTTTTATCATCAGAGAGCAAACAAAGGGAAATGCATGTGGGAGAGAGAGAGAGGGAAAGCTCAGTAACTGCAGGTGATTTAAAAGCAGATCTTTGGATTTCAGCTGGCAAAAAATAATGTTAAATTGCTGCATTACAGAAGATTTAAAATGGAATAATTTCATTCCCAAGGGGAGACATCTCTTGGTCAAATACATTATATATTGCGTCTTTTCGTCATCAAGCATTTGAGCAAACATTATGGTCACTATATTTGTATTATTTCTTCTGTTCCTATCACAGAATACAAAAAGGAATACAATGTATCAACTTTAAGCATTTATCTGAGGGGAAATGTACAGAATTCCAAGACGTCTCTCTGCATAGTTCTTGTTCACATCTTTGTACAATAGTGCTACAAACCAGAATCTCTTCTAGTGGTTCTTAAGACGCATTGAAAGAATCACCTTGTCAGGTTTCTCTTTACAAAGAATAGGTAGGTTTCTCTGCTCTTTCACAGGGCTCCTGTTTCAGAAATTAAAGAGGTGTACTGCTCCTTCCTTAAGCCCCATTTCCCCATTATTTTGCTTCTGTTTCTGTTCTGCATAGTTGTATTTACATAAACGTATAACTTGGCCTCCTTTGTTTTGCATCAAGGTGACAAGAATCAGTGCTGTGACATGCAACACCCTCAACAAATGTGCATGCCGACTTGCAGCCTCGCGCTCCACTGTGCAGAGTTGGGAGACCTTGGGTTCAATGGCCACGAGGCGTTAGATGCTAGAGGCTGTCGGGTGACTTCATGAAATGCCTTCTTGGCTCTGCTCCATTTTGTCATGGGCAGCTGTCCATAATAAAAGCCTGTCATCACAGCTGGCACCCTGACTGGGCAGGACTTGGCAGGGAAGGGAACCAAGGATCCTTCCAGGTCAGAGGTTGGGTTTATTGGCACTGTGCTGGAAGGAATGCTGACAGAGTGTTTTGAAGAGACCTCTTCTCTGAATAAGTGAGCAACTTCGAAGGTATCCTGCTCAGGGGTGAAGATAACCCCTAGCTTTCCAGCTCTGGCTTAAACATAGACAAAAGCATTGCATTTCATTGTGGAAATCTGGGCTGGAACTTAGTTTAGGAGTGAACATGCAGGGCAGATCACACATTTGCGGAGGGTAAATAAGCCACAGTGCAAGTCATGAGCTGCCCAACTAGCAAAATGACCACGAACATTGTTGTGACATCTGAACCTGGCAAGGGTAGATGGTTGGAGTGGCTTACAAAGCGTTCTGACACACATGGCTTGCTCCAGGGTTTGTGTGTGTGTGTGTAAACTGTCACAGCCACCTAGGTTTGGACATTAGGAAAACTCATGCAAGGCAAGGATAATTATACAAATTATAGGTGGATGGGGACAGGCACATCTGAAGAAAGAAAATAAGTCACTGATTCAGCTCAGACAACACACATTCAGGGGTTCAGTATGGAGTGTTATTGATCCGAGGGCTGTTGATGAAATGCATGTTACCATGTCATTTGTAGCCAACCAAGATAACAAACCATGGTGAACAACCCACAGTTCATAGCGTAATTGCAAACCATGGGTTCCGTTTATGGGCTGTTCATAGTTAACCAACTCTAACTTGTTAGTGTCACTGGAATCAGATAACATAACCCATGTTTCAGTAACAACCCTTGGGTATCATGTGTTGTCCAGTCACTGTGGCTTGTTTTTCCTCCATGATGATGCACAGCAACTGAGCAAGCTTGGAGGCAAACCAGTATTCCTCAGCCTCAACCACCTGCTAGCAAAATGGTAGTAGTAAGGACACAGTTGCTTGAGGATGAGAAGATGGATATGATTACACACCTTGGGGATAGGCTGAACTGATAAAATAAATTCCAGTCTGATACAATAGATAGGAAGTGTATTGAATCAGTCTGCAAAGTTCCAGTTTTTAGCAAGTGTCTCTTTCCTTGTGGTGACTGTGTATCATTCACACAGCATTTCCAATTTTCTGACTGCTTTACATTTCTTATCATGCTTTGTGTGACTCTGAGTCAGAACTGGATAATACCATTTGAATAGATCTGGAGAACCGAGCTTGAGATACAGCAGCTCACCCAAGGTAGTGCGTCTATTGTGTTGCAGTGGTTAGATGGGTGGGATTGTAATGTGGGAAACTCTGGTCCAAATCCTCCCCTGACTATGGAGCTTGCTGGGTGTCCTTGGGCAAGCTAGGGACCTCTCCTAGGGACAGGTGACCCACCAGGAAGATCACCATGGCCATCTCTATGTTCTTTCTTAACTATTCAGTGACATCGTCAAGATCAGGCAATGCAGTCCACGTGCTATAAAGTTGTACTTGGGCATGGGAGACCCAAACCTAAACAGCTCCTCTGCTGTTTGGTTCTTTCGTTTGTGTCCTCCTCTTTCTCCAGGAATTTTCCTTTGTCATTTGTGACAGATAAGCTAAGGCAGCTGTAGGAAACCTTTTGCTCAGGGCTGATGGAAGCTGTAGTCCAAAACTCCTGGGTGGGGCACCATGTTGCTCCTCCCAAGTGTAGTGTATTGCTACTGTCTAGAAACATCAGAGGGTCCAGAAGACTAGAATAAGAACTCCAGCCAGAGGTGGTTATTAAGAGTATGAGACTTCCCGTTTGCAACAGCTTCAATATCTTCTGGTTTATTTGGGGTCTAATTCAAAGTGCTGGTTATGACCTTTACATCAGGAGTGCAGAACCTCGTGCCAAACCCCCCATCCTCCACCCCCCATGGGCACCTGAGGTCACCATGGAGCCTTATCCTGGCCTCTTCTCCTTCCCCCCATACAGCTTGTTCGTTCATTTCCCATCTTTTGTGGGTCCCCATCTCCATTCTAAAAGGCTGAATTGCCTCTCTTAAGGCTGAGTTGCTGGCAAGAAGAGCCTTAAAGGAAACAGGCTGATGTTTAGGGTATTTTGGCCCTGCCTCCCTTGCCTTTGGCCCTGCTGCATTTTGCCACTGGCCACGCAGTCCCAGAGGGCTCCTCTGAAGTGGGATTTGCCCCTTGGGTGAGAGAGCTTCAACAGTCCTGCGTTTAGGGCAGCTCAGTCCCACTGAAGCTGCTCACAGGAGAGGTTCTTTATATTTGGTGACATCAGAAGAACATTTAGTTTATAAGCCACACCTTGATATAAGCAATACCTGAGCCTTCCAAAGGAGACCCAGAATGCCCCTATCCTGTTATAGGTTAGTTCTGTAAAGCCTCCTCTTGGCTCACAAAAACCTCTATATTTTTTGGCATGCATTTGACCTGCAAATCCATTGATGTTTACAACTTCCTAGTTGTTGAGTTTTATCAGCCATCTCCTGTTTTTATCAGCTGTCTCCTGTTATCCTTTTCCTCATCATTATGTATTGACTGTTGCTGTAAGTCACCATGAACATTATAACGGAAATTATAAAAGGCGCTTGTGTTTTGACGAAATAAAAAATAAATCTAGGGACAGTGGAGCTAGAAAGGCCAATAAAGTAGAATCCTAAGAAAAATAAGAATGTAGGAAGCCACCTGGTACTGGATCAGACCATCATTCATTTAGATCAATTTTTTGGTGGGAGTTTTTCCAGCCTTACCCAGAGAAGACAGAGACTTGAACCCTGGACTCTTTGCAGGCAAAGGAGGCACTCTGCCACTGAAGTATATCTGTTCTTCTGAGACTATAAAAACATAGATGGTTTTTAAA